GCCATGCCAGGAATGGGAGATGGGAGCAGAAGTTCCAAGGAGAAAACATCTCCACCTGGACTCGGGTAACAGTTGTGGAATACAGTGCAAAAAATGCCCATCCCAAATTGCTGACAGAGGCTGCTAGATCTGCACGAGTGCTTCCCCTCTCCAAGGTATGTCACTATAATCACTTAAAATAAAAATCATTCAACATTTTGCAATCTGTAAACACACAATCTATTCCCCCTTCTACTCCCTCCCTTGGGAGAACCAGCTGCAACCCACTCATCCAGGGAGACAATTTGCTCAGATGCGTGCGGGAAAGCTTCAAAACGTCCATGCCAAACACCAAGCACTGTGAAACAAGCAGTATGATTTACAGAATTCACATTGATTGTAGAATGGCAAATAATAAGTCTAAATATAACTTGTCACATCTCTTTCCATTTATAATGCCACTGGTTTGTTCTCAAGGCACGCTGAGCCAAAGCCCCAGGCAAGGTGCTGGAGGAGGCGATGCCGTGAACTGCTGTTACAAGACACTTTGTGTGTGTTTTAGGTATCTTTTTTTCAATGGACAGTGATCTCGATAGGCAAAATTGTGTTTTACCAGCCTAGATGAAAGGGAAGTGGGTGTTGGGAAATTCAGTCCGATCTTTCACGATATCATAGCAAGCAGGTGTGAACAAGCTAATGCTCAATCCCCCCAGGGTCTTTAAATTCAGAAGTGCCGTATAAAAGGGCACGTTTTTCAGGCTGTGTGAACACTTCAAGACTCTTATTTTTCAAACCAACCTGGCATTTGCATCCTACTGCTTCACATACACACAAGGCACTTGAATCCAAGTCCTCAGTTGAATGTTATTCCTTTGATGTGCCCTCAAGTTTTGCTGCTGTTGATCATCACACTCGCACTCCTGGCCTCATTCTTCATAAACAAGACATTGCAGTTTGATTATTTAATATTTTGATTAATATAAATACAGTTCTATAGGATCGATGCTGTATTAAAATCTGAAAATATCTGAATTAAGTATTTTACAATTGCTGCATGTTTAATAACACATGTAGAGTCTTCCTAACCTCAGGACTATTAAGACAAATTTGAAAGACTGCAGAAATACCATGGAAATACCATGCCCAACAAAATGTTACTTTTTTTTCTTTTATTTTTTCCAGCTACCAAAATTCCCTTGAGCTTAAAAYTGAAATATATTTCAATTTCAACTTTTTTGAAATATAGAATACTAGTATCAATTAGATCAACTTAACATATTATATTTCTGCATTCCTCCCCCACTAGAAAACATTACTTTGATCAAACTTCTGCAACTTGCTTTATCTCAAGATCCCAATCAATATGTTTTTATTCTTAATAAAAAATGCATTAAATTGTTCTAGTGATTAGATGCCAAACCGCTGATTTCAGCTAGTCCTATCATCTTGCCAGAAATTAGATTTATAGGATGAAAACCTACTAGGTAAATAATTAATAGATTTTTTCCTTAYAAATGAACATAATTCATTTAATAGAATTCATTTAATACAAAATTATTTTAAAAGTCTGTTATTTAAAAAAAMCCCAAACTTCTAAATGAAGATTCTGTATCCAGCTTCTTCAGCATAGACAGATAAATAACCACATGCATGGTTTGGATAGTAGTTATCAAAGATTGAATCACCTCTAACATCAAAAATCCCTTTCYATAACTGGACGTAGAGCCCAGACTTGATCACAGGCTGCACAGGAGATCTGTAGAAAGCAGAATTCACTCCCTATAAAGACTGCATCTCCCCCTTGCAATAGCTAAAAGTTTCTGAGCTTCAGGTTATCAATTYATGAGCTTTTCTTGCAAGTTCATGCATATCCCAGCAGACAAAACACCTAACTTAACTCTCTTTGATCAAAGTTCATCAATTCACCTAGCAACTATATGTAAATCTATGTAACATCTGTGGTATTAAAAAAATCTCCAGGTATTATTTCCTCCCTCCTCTTCTTTCCCATAATGTAATAGACTTCTTTTGCTTCCCCTCTGCTGGTACCAGCTGAAAAGGAAGCAAACTAGAAGAAACCTTCAAGCAGAAAAGATAAAAGAACAAGCTTTAAAAACTCGAGWCATTTTTACTTATATGTAAGTAATCAGAGTTTCTTAAAATCCCCTGTTGTCCCCAAACTGTCCTGACCTTGACTGGAGGCATACAGCTCCACAGTATCCCTTTTGGAACTGAAAGCATGTCATGTTTGATTTCTTTAGCAAAACCAGAGGCCTTTTGCTTTCTGGCATGAGAGCGCTCAGGAATTAGTCATGGCAGATATTTTCTAATTTTCTCATTTGTACAATGAGGAGAGGAAAGGGAAGAATCAGAAAAGCAGAAATCCTCTCTGCTTTCCCCCTTCTCTCCCCGACAGATAGCTAGACACTGTGAAAATCCCTATTTTTGTATCATACAACCCTCTTGGAACCAAATACAGGACAAGACAAAATCCACCTGCAGCTCAAGGCCATCAGCATCCAACGGGAACAGCCCTTAGGACATTTTGATTTAGGTGCTTTGGGTAACTCACGTCCTACAGGATTAGACCTTTAATTAGGTCTGTTCATTTGCTGGAACACGGAAGCCACAAGCTGTTGTTGCACATCAGCCAGCAGCAGCCACTTACTCGACAAGAGCACTAATTCCTAGAGACTATTTTACTTGGCCTAAAACACTTAAAGGACAGGAATTGTTACCTGAGCCTCCGAGGGCAGCCTGTGCTATTCAAAGGGCAATTTGTACAGCTGGAAATTTTAATCTGTTCTATTCAATATTTGCTTGGGTATGAAGATATTCATCCCTTGGATCTTGACATGCCTACTATGATTGAAATGAGAATACTGACTTGGGAGCTGCAGAGGTTCTCACATCTTTTTTGTCTTCCTTTTCTACCCAGGGTGAAGTATTTTTAACAAAACTAAAAAGGGAAAATTAAGGATCTCAAATTTCTCTCCATTTGAGACGCTGTGCAAATAAGAGACTGCCCAAACCTCCATCTGTAACCCTAACAAGCTTGCTAGTATATTATCACATTACTTACTTGTTGTCAAACAACGTATTTTCAGGCAGGTATGCTTGAACCCACAAGAGTTCTGCCCTCCAATAATTAACATATGCTTAATGGAAAGATGGACCCATTAACAGGGAAAATAGGAATTTCCTGGTCCAAATTCTTTCATGCTTACTGGCAAACACAATTCCATTCATTTAATTCAGGCCTCATTAGTGGTCAGTTTTTAAAAATAATTTGGTATCCAGATGTACAATTTGGTAGCCTTATGTACAGAAAAGGGGACTACAGAAAGTAGAAATATGAGGGTCTGAAAAAAAAAAGAATTATAATTTGATTACAGTTACTATAAGAAATTATATCAAAAATAAATACAGGAATTTCAGTTCTGGTCTCCTTCACTCTGCTCTTGTGCTAGTCCCACAGCAAGACAATCCAGCTCCACAATCCAGCTGAAAATCACCCAGCAGGGAGGCATCTTCCGCACACCCTTCAGGCTGTGTAGGACTTCTCCTTGTCAGCATTTCCATCCTTTCACTTTGCCCCTCCTGCGCAGTGTCCAGTGGGTTTCTACAAGGTCCTGAAGTTGTTTCCAAATGTCACAGCTTGCAGGTGCAAGGCCTCACAGACTCTCCCAGCTTTACACCGTTTCTAAGGGAAATGTCAGAGATTACTGGCTTTCTGCTCCAAATACCATATTGTTTGAATCTGCTGTCTTTCCAGTCAGGATCTGCATTCCTCTGAAGACTGTATTATGTATTTGAAAGGCAGTTTAAAAACCTAACATTGGGGTAATTTAGTTCAGAGTAATTGCATATTTAGTGCTTAGTAACTGCAGTAAGACAAAGAGTGTGTTACAAAGGTGAGGCTTCCAATTCCATCTGAGCAGTTTAGACAAATACTAGAAAATCACATTCCTTTTATTTGTTCTTAAAATCTTGCTGCTGCATTGCAGCCACACACACTTTTTAATAAAGAGAACGTGAAGAGTATAGTGAGTTATATGCAGGATTTACCTTTCTCATTTCACCAGGTCTGGGTCAAGATCACCACTGCATAAAAACAGATAGTAGAAAGTGGTACATCATTCACAACTGAGATCTTTCAACAGTACATTTTTGTAACTTTCTTATTCCAGCTTTAAAGCAGAGAGGTAAATAGTAAATTTAAACAAATTCATTTGCCATCTGTGTTATTATCAATTCAGCAAAAGTGCAAGCATAAACTCTAGCAGCTGCACTTAAACCTGCCAAAGTTTCGAGTGTTTATTAGAAAGCTACGAAGTATTTCAGCTTTCAGGAATCCATGCTAGGGGAGACAAATCTAGGGCAAACTTGTCAAAAGCCTCATTCAATTTTTGAACAGAAAATTGAGCTAAAATGTGTGAGCTAAAATTGAGCTAAATATTCTAATTAGCTTTAAGAGAGGGAGGTTTAAGGCTGGTCTACAGGTCACTTAAACTGAAAGAATAAAGTCATTGGGTAAACAGACCGAGTTAAACACAGGTGAAATTCCTCCTGTAGCTGTATTTCTACCAAGAGAAATAAGCTTTCATCAGAAAAATACAACTCTATTAAAAAAAAAAAAAAAAAAAAAAAGCCTTAGAAAACACACTTGGAGATGCATGATGGAAGACCTCTTTTCACCTGCCTAAAGACCACCAGAGCACATTTCAAAACTTCAGACCTGCAAGACACAGGTACACAAATCAGGATTCACATTTTTGAGTTTTAAATAAATCAACCTGGTAAGCGGGATTCTCCTCTGACAGGAGGCCTAAACTGCAGCTTATATTTACATGAAAATTTACATGTGAAAGGAGCATTTGTAAAAGCGCCTCAACTTGAGCACAGCAACACCACCAGTTACAAATATCGAGGAGGGTTAAAAATACTTTATTATTTCAGCGCAATAGACCCTTTATCTAGAAATCAGGTAAAAAAAAGCTGYATTTGAAATAGATGAAATAGATGTTATATATAGTTTCAAATAGATGTTATGTAAAGGCTTGTGACAAAGGCAAGATACTTTGGATTCTGGTGTAGAGTTTACCCCTGCTGAAGACCGTATTAAGTGAAATAAAACAGTAGTCTGTCCTAGGAGCCTTTCTCTAGTGCAAGTGAAACACCTAGGCTGGAAGGCTTGTACTTATATGTTCCAATTTCTGGCCAGCCCAGGTGTCTGCAGCAATCACTTCAGAATTTATTCCAAGTTCCAGATTTTGGAGTGCTTTTTTGTTTGTTTCTGTCCCAAAGTAATGAAGACTCTATCTGGTGTGTGCTCCACCATTCCCCAGTTTGCATGATGGAACTCATCTGGGTACCAGAAACACTGCCCTTGGTTTCAAGTGTCACTGAACACCAGCCTACTTTACACCTTCCTGTTCATAGTCTGTTAATACTATTTTTGCTTTTTCATTGGAACTTCTATTGTCATAAAATCTTCAGCTAGTGTTACCTCTTGCCCACCTAGCACTGACTCTGCCTGTCTCTTCAGCTCTGTTATGTCAGCATCTCCTTCACTCATCTGCGCGGCTGGTTTATAGCGTTGACTGAAGTGAGTCAAAACCAACTTCTTAGCTTTACACAATTTTGCAAAACCAGAGGCCATTCTTGGGGTGCTGTGACCATGCTCTCTGGCCTTCTCCTCTTGGGTATCATCCAACGTGGCTTCATGAATCAACAGATCTGCTTCATAGCAAAGCTTCACGGCTGCATCGCCAACCACCCCTGAGCAGTCCCCTAAAATGCAAATTTTTCTTCCAGGGATAGGCTCTTCTAAGACATCTGAAGGAGAAATTGTCACTCCATTTTCCAGAACTACTTCTATACCATTCTTCAGTTTTCCATAGAGAGGACCTGGCTGAACTCCTGGGGAACGAAAGCAAAAGAACCAGTCAGTGCCAGGATCATTGTTGGGGTTCAAAGACCTCTTAAGAGCTGCACTACACGTAGAGCTGCCTCACTGAAAAAATACAGCCTCAGTTCAAGTAGCAATTGACATTTCATACTCTTCATGCCAACAAAAAGCTTGTTATTCTAACAGAAGGTGCTTTTGAAAAAGAAAAAAAAAAAGCTGTTTTTCATATCAGAGTGAATAAAGCAAAATATGGCAAAACCACTGCCATTCCTTTCTCTGAAAGCCATGCTATGATTTTTAAAACTTAACTTCTGAACTTGCTTGCTCTTCTCAGCATGAGAGTAGTCAGCAATGCTAAGTGGCAGTAGCAAGACACTCTGACTTGAACTGCTGCATTGGTATAACGCGTTTAAATGTTTTTACTAGAAAATGGAATTAAAGTGAACTGTGGAGAGATACCCACAGATCTAGCTCGCTAGAATATCTAGGAAGGAGGTCACAAAAAGGTGTCTGCTGCTAGTGAGGCCAGTTTGGTCGCAATTGCTGAAAGCTGGAGTCAGCACTCAGCTTAAACACAGGCATTCAGACATCTGCTGCCTGCTGGCGACTTCTCAGCATCTGAAGCTGCAACGTGAACACAACTGCTATTAGAACCTGCTCTTTTGGTATAAAGAGGCATCTAATGGTTCCTACAGGAGTAAAAAAGAGCTCTCATGCAATGCAGCAAGAAGCAGTAAGACYGTAAAAGCATTCAGGAATAAGTTCCAACAAATTCTGATCTCCAAAGCATTCAATAATTTTAAGAGGGGAGGAAAAAAAAGTCAAAATAGTTACCAATTTCTTTTAGTTTTTGCACGTTGAGTTTACCCGCCCGTGGCTTCTCTTCCACTGCAAAGCCAAASGAAGGAATGCGGTGGAAGAGCTGGAAGGCTTTGACTACAAACTGCTCATCATCCACYAGCAAGTACGAGTTTTCCACGGGATCCAGGTGGATTATCCTCCCTTGGGCTTCCCCTGAAGATGCTTCATCCTTGTCCAGGGAAGAGAAGTCTTTAAACTCTTCTGCAGGGCACTGGTCCCGAGTCGGTACGAGCTCATGAACAACGTAAGGAAACAGAAGCTGCGAGTGGGAGAGCTCCAGGGTCCTCCATATGAAGCTTCGTAGTCCTAATGGTCCATAAATATCTACGGGGGGTTTGTTTGGGTCAGGGCTGCTCTGGAGGCTCAGGGTACACAGCAGGCCAGGAAGTCCAAAGAAGTGGTCACCATGAAGGTGAGTTATGAAAATCTTTGTAATTCTACCTATTGATTTGAACAGCAAGAGAAAAAAAAAAATTAAAAAAAAAGGAGAACAAGTGAACAGCATGACAACTTAGAAATTAATCACTTTTTGGCAAAAAGCAGAGAAAGAAAGGAAAGCAAGGTGGGAAATGAAAATAAAACACATTTAAGAACTAAATCCCAGGCCACTAAGTATATTTTTCCACTACAGGGATAACTTTCCACACACAGGGCTTATTTTGACTTACAAATGATTTGTCCCAAAAGACAGTTGAGAGCTAAGTTTTAGCTAATCCTAAGCAGAGCACGGAGCTGGATCAGCCGGTGACATCTGCCGCATTAAAATGCAGAGCAGTGCTGGAAAGTGGCTGCACTTTGACACGTTACATGGAATCTCTTGACTAACGAGAAACATAAGGTGGAATTTGGGTTGTTTCTGCTTTTGACTTGAAGACACAAAATGACTGTATTAAAAAAAAAAAAAAAGAAAGAAAGAAAGAAAGAAAAATCTTTCAAGAGCCAAATCCCCACAGTTCCTACCTAATCTGTTTCAAACAGATGAAAGTTTTCACCTAAAGATTTGTGCTTTCTATCTAGTCTGGATTTGTCTCATTCCAACTTCCAAGCACTGAACCTGGTCCTTGACAGATATAACATAACATAACATAACATAACATAACATAACATAACATAACATAACATAAAATAAAATTTCTCTTATTGAAGATCCATATACATTAATGTAGCTGCATCAGGCTCTTCAGTTAACTAAGGGAGTTCCTTCTTCTTTGCTATATGGCATTTTCTGCACCCACTGAGTCTTCTGGTGGCTTTTCCTGCCTTCCCTTCAAACTTAAACAGAAGAGACATCAAAACAAGACGCACTGCTCCAGGTATCAGCTGCATCTTGAGCTAACCAGCTTATAATTGCCTGGATCACATCAGGTGCTCCTTTCGACAGAGGGAAAACCCAATTTGACAATTGGTTTAAATTAGTACTTCAGTTTATTCACGTTGACATCAAATCGGATGGGAGTTTCACATTTTGGGGGAGCAGGAGGCTATGTCTGCGTTTAGAATTGATATTCCAAGTTCAAAATTCACCTGTGAAAGCCCGAATTGTGCTTGCTGCTGGAGAACTCAATGAGCAAAAGCAAGGGGGGTTCCTACTTGCTAAAATGACAGAGCTAATAGGAAATCACAGAGCTTTATGAAGCCAAGTACCTTCCAAGTTTATGGAAGCCAAGTATCTACAGGCAGGAAGAGTCATAGCAGGTAYTGACTGGAGCTGTCTCTGGGCAAATACAAGACCTAAAAAAATGAATTAATTTGGGGGCACTTGTTCCTTGGGCGCAGGTCTCTGCGCAGCTCTGGTCTCCGCAGGTGCTGCCCTGCTCGCGCGCAGCACTCACCTGCTTTCAGGTGGCTTCTCATGAGCTGGGTCTGCGTGCCCTCCGCGCAGTCGAAGAGCCAGCAGTGCCCTTCGCGGCGCAGCGCCAGCGCCGAGGCGGCCCGCGCGGGACCGGGGTAGGCCGAGCCCGTGCCCAGGAACGTCACCTCCAGGGACATCGCCGCCGGGTCCCTCTGCCACCTGCAAGAGGTGCTCTAAGTTACTGACCATCCTTACTYTTGCTGGGGAAGGAACACTTGTCTTTAAGTGCAGGCATCCTACTCCAGTGTGAGGATCACAGGCCCCTTCTCTTAAAAAAATAAGCAAATAAATAAAAATTTCCCTGGCGCAGGACTTTGGGACAGTGTTTACAAACAGCAGGTTTCCATTTTATGCCAATGGCAGGTTTGCAAACACACACGCCACATGTTAGAGGTGACCTTTGTTCATCACGTCGGTATTAAAAACCAGAAAACGATCAAATTAAAAGCACTCCCCCAGCCATCTGGAAACACTCTCATCTTTAAAACCGCTACTGCTTCTTTCTTCTCTATGTGTTTTAACCTTATTTTTTCCTGCTGTCTGCTTGYAAGAGTGCTCCTTTAACCATTTTCCCCTCCCCAAAGGCAGGCACTTTCCTCTTAAAAGCCTTTCCAGCATGACTAATACCCAATAGCCCATGCCGGCCTTTAAAAGCCATTAGCGGACTGCAGGAGGAGACAGCCCAACACGATGGAGGGGAAAGATTCCCTTCCCTCCGAACGACTTAAGAGACCGCAAAAGGCCAGAGCCGATTTCCCTCGCCTTGGGAAAAGCATCTSGAGAACCAACGCTGCTTTACTCATCGGGGCAAAATGAAAAATTAAATACTGGAAAATCTTTACGTAGCCGASAGGCTCTGTGATACATCAAGTGACACCTCTTGTCACGAAGGATCTCTGTAAGCGGCTGCCACACGCGAGCTGTTTATTTACTCACTGAACTGTCCGAAAAAGGAGCCCAAGTGGTGCGCGCAGGCAGGACAGGGCTCTGGGCGCCACGTTAGGCGCTCCCGGCTGGTTTTTAACTCGTCTGGACACACACGAGGCGTATCTGCATCTCCTTGGGCATTCAGTCCTCCCAGGCTGGGTCTCTACCGCATTTCCAGGTGCGYTTCCATGTCATCCTAAGCAGCCTCAGGTCCCTCCCGTGAGAAAGAGCCACCCATCCACTCTGGGCTAGTTATTTCTGTAGCGACTTCCATAGTTCCCATAGGATGGGGAAGGGTCCGGTCTCATTGCCGGGATTTAGGAAGCGCATGGAGCTGCCRCACGCGGGTACCCGGCCTTGCAGGGGAGGCCGACGAGCAGCATCCATCACACCACGGGGCACAACACACCTCCTGCTTCCCCTGCCAGAGCGGGAAGCAAACCCTCCGCACGGAAACGCTAAAAAATCGCGTTTGGGTGGGTTATTTTAGAGCTATTTAGCTTTTCCGAGCTGCCCTGCGCTGCCAGCCGGCAGCAGCGCGGGAGAAGCCGCCGCCTCAGCTCCCGGCGCCCCCGCGCTTCCCTCAGCGCCCCCGGCCTCCTCGGTGTCCCCGGGCCCCCTCGGTGTCCCCCGGGCCCCCTCGGCCTCCCCGGGCCCCCAGGGGCTCCCCCCGCGCCGCTCCGGGCCTACCTCGCCCGGCGGCGCCTGAGGCGGAGCCCGCGCCGGGCCCGGCCCCTCGGCGGCGGCTGCGCGCCCGCCCGGCCGCCCTTTTGTTCCTTTATTCATTCGCTCGGCTTTCTTTTCCCAGCTTTTAAAATTTATTTGGCTTTTTTCCAGCTTTATTACTATTTTTTTTCTCTCTCTCTCTCTCTCTCTCTTTTTTTTTTTTTTTTTTTTTTGGTGTGGGTGGAGGGCCCCCCCTCACAAGGGACCGAAATGGCCTTAAACAGATTAAGGCTGAGAGGGGGGCGGTGGGGGGGGGCAGAGAGAAAGTGGCTAAAATAGCTAATTTCATACCAGTTTTGTACAGGCCAAGCACTACCCTTTGGGAATAAATAACAGGAAAACATGGCATTTAGGCAAAGAGAATGCATTTTACTAAGAAAATAGAAGACCAGAACACACATTTCAATAGTTACAATACTATAAAGGGAGAAAACAAAACAAAAAAAAAACAGTTCACATTTAAATACAATTTTAGTTTCAGCTGAGCCCCCCTAGATTAAGTCCCCCCTGTCCACGTTAGGCCGGGATTGCTCTCACAAGGCGGCAATTGAATTACGTTGAGTTAGGCAAGATGGATGCGCTACAGAGAGAAATGATTTTGCCATTTTATTTCCTGAAAAAAACCCTGACAAAGGCGCTCCGTTTGCATAATCTGAGAAGTATTTAAGTATTTGCATTTTTGCTTTTATTAGGAAGGAGCTGCTTAAAGGCCGGTCAAAGCCAGAGGTGCTTGGAGGGCTGCGTGGAGTCCAGYGCCCACGTTACGTTGAGCTTGGCGTGACGGCCAGTCCAGCACCCGACCCAGGAGAGGTTTTGATGAGTTCTTGTCACCCCACGCAGTACCAGCGAGGCCRAAAACGCACCAAGTTTCCTTATATTTCACCAGGAACGTCTGCAGGTTGACAGCTCGTAAGGTATTTCAGGAGTAGGTAGGTAGGTCAAGGTAGATGCGCACAGAATTAGATGTCCCTTCACCAGAGGCCACTGAATTGCGTTAATCAAGTTCTGCTGCAAACGGGTATTATTATTAGAGCTTTGCTCTAGATTTTCTCCTTGCTCCAGTATTCGACATAATGCCAGTCCTTGCATTATTATGTACATTTTGTTACAGACAGGATAGTGTGGTGCTTCGTTAACAGTGGGTGTCAACTTGAAAAAAATCCTAAAATGACAGTGGTTTTCTCCTTAAATTCACGAACAGCATTTTATAGCCCAGACAGAGCTGAAACCCAAACTGTTTTCCTTATTGTCCCTTCTGAAAGTTGGTGCATTACTTCATCTAAAGCAGATGATATATCAACATCTGCACCTTGGACACTGAGGAGAGCTGGAGCAAGCCCCAAATGAATACAAAACTTCATTTTTAATTAAATCCAGAGCCAGCTGAACTAAAATGCATAGTTGTAGCTGTAGAACAGTACTGGTGCCAATTCTCCTACAGGAGTATTCACTAGACAGGGCTGCTAATGAAAAAACCCACAAGGTAAATTGTGTCTGCCCCTTACAGTTCCTACGAGGAGAGTGTGACACAGGATTACTTCACCCCGTCCTGCAAAAGAGCGTGCTGGAAAAGAACAGTACAGGGAACACACACAGCTACTGCAGGGGCACCTGCTAAACACCAATGGGCAGGTAAAGCATCGCTTCATTTTAAGCTTGGCAAACACAACATCGTGAAACACCATTAACGACATATCCAAGAACGTGGGTAGCAAGTCACACTTCGGGTTATAAATGTATCAGACACTACATTTTACTGGTCTTCCTCTCTGTGTCGGCCCTTGGTGCACGCAACTCCATGTAACACATTAAACTCCATCGGGGAGGCTGCTCTCCCTGAGCTGCTTCCCTTTCCAAAGACCTTCCACTTCTCACCTAGACGTCTCTGTGTGCTGTGCCCAAAGACCCAGTCCTGCTCCTGTTCATTTGAAGGGAGCAAGTCTTGGACCAATGCTGAAAAACAAAACTGAGCACCCTCAGCTCTAAGCAGTTTCTGATGCTTAGTATTTTTCTCCAGCATGCTCTGTACCTCCAGAGTAGTACCCTAACAGAAGAGACATTAAAAACATTTCTATGTCATTACAGAGCAAAAGTCACTAGCGCTGTGGGAAGAGCTGTGCCACTAGTCCTCCTTTAAGTACAAATTTGCAAAAAAAAAAAAAAAAAAAAAACCCAATATAAGCTTAACTTACACTATGTAATGTTACAAAATGCATCCTGGTGAGAGCCTTTTATCTTTGTAGGCTGCAAAAGAGAATTTTCCTTATTCATATAGATTAATAAATGCTTTTGATAAAGCCTGCAAGGAAAAAATCAGAACATCAGGTGAAGTAGAATATGAAAAGGGATACTGCAATTCCTTCCTATGTGGCAAGAAGAACAGCCAATTAATTAGTTAACTGTCAATTAACAGATAACTGATTCAAAGAAAATTAGATTTGAAGAGTTCATCAGATCTGAAGATGAATCCATATACTTAAAATATTCTGAAAAGAATGAATATTCTGAAGAGAGTGAAACAACAGGGCGGTTTGTGAGCTGACGTGTTACCTGTTGCCAATGGAAAGCAAGGGCTGTAGGTTGAAGGTGAAACCCTACAGTGTCTCTGAAGCTGTAGGTGACAGCGGAGCCCGACCATGGGATGGACATGGATGGAGGTGAGGCCCAGCTCGGAGCTCTCAGCTGGCTCCGCAGGGATGCAGTAGGGACACAGCACAGACTGTGCAGCTCCAGAGCTTGGGGACATCGCAGCTCCAGAGCTTGGGGACATCGACAGCCACGTGGGCAGATGACTACAGCCTAAGCAGAGCCTCACAGTTACTTAAAGGTAACAGTAAAACCAGGTTTTTGGTCACTTCTGCAGTGGGATTTACATGGAGATTATCAAGTCAGGCTTATAGCTGGGAAAAGCCGYGCTCTGCCGGCTCCGAGCAACTCCTCGTGGCCTCTGCGTGGGGAGAGCAGGCCAGRAGAAAGAGCAGCACTGCACAAAGGAGGCATCATCCCTGTCCCCGACACCAGCCCCTGCCAAGTGTGTGCTTGGGAGCTTCCTCGGGGAACCAAAACCGCTCCTGGCCGGAGCCCGGCTCCTGCTGGGAGCAGGGAACAGGACTCTTCCCAAGTGCCAGATGTTCCGAAACGCCGAGTGCTGTCAGGGCCCTTGCATTATAACCGCTGGCTGCGCTCCCTGCCTGCAAAGAACAAAGCCAGACCCAAGCGAGGGATGTAGATCTTTATTTTGCAACCCCAGAGCTGTATTTACTGGCTGGCGGCCCTGCCTCTGCAGCCAGGGCACAGGGTCGGTGCCCAGGACCTTCTCTCTGCTCCTCTTCCACACAATCAGTGCTTGACCGAAGCAGCGAGGAAGGGTTTCTTGCTCACACACTTAACACAGGCACACAGAACCTCCCCGACGCACCACGACAGGCTTTCAGGCCCGGCTTCAGCAAGAGGTGAATTTTCAGAAGGTAAAAATAATTTGTACACTAAATAATTTTTTTTTCAGTAAGATCATGTATTTAAATATACTAAAAACGAAGCATAGCAAAAATAGATGAAAAAAGCATTCTTTGTAAAAATATTGTGTTTTTTGGTCTTTTTTTTTTTTATCTGTACTTACATCTCTAAGTTGCAAACCACAAAAATCACACAAGATGGCAATGAAGCTCCTAGAGCCCCAGCAGACAGCTTTTCACCAGTTTGAACAGATCATTTTTCCCCCACATTGCTATTTTCTGTATTTATATAATGAGGCTTCTTTCCTTGCTTAGCTGAAATCTTCCAAAAGTTTACATTAAAATCAGGAACCAAGCAATAAGCAAGAGACCCTGTTTTTATTTTTAAGGGGGTACAGAGTCTGTATTTCCATTTCTATTTTGGTGCTCTTTTATATACCTCTGAAGATCTGAAGAGGCTGCATTTTCCTATATAAATGAGGCCACGGGCCATACACTTGCCATGGGTAAATTCTGAGAAAGATTCACTTCATCTCTTTAAGGCTTCAAGATTGCTAATATAGTCATTTTAAAACTATATATATAGTTTTACTGGCCAAAAAATCCATATAGATATATATATTTATATGGATAAAATCTATAAAATCCACATATATATATATGGAGTGGACAAAAAAAGAAAACCCCAACTATATATACAGCCTATAATGCCCTATATGTACTGACCAAAAGAAAATCCTATCTGTGATTTCATCCTTTTCACTAACATGCCATTGCTTTTATGGAGACTGGATTTAGAGAAGTCATAGGCTGCAATTACAAAAAAAATGTGTTGTTGCTTGCTAATATGAAATAATGAAGGGCAGTCAAAGCACATGTGAACAAAGTGGAAAGCAGAGCACATCGTGATACCTGTATCAAAGGTGCAGGACTGCCACTGCACAGAAAGGGAGCTAAATATCAACCAGCCATTTTTGTTTTCATATAAATTTCATACAAAATAGCCCAGAATTTAAGCCTGCAGAGGGAGAGGGGAGGATCAAGTGGTCAACTTCTAAGCATCTGATCTTTCAAGTCTTCCATGTGCTGTGTTCAAACCAGCAGCACGCTGAACTGAGCTCCCGGGGAACATGTAACCCTCTGCATGTGTGCGTGTCAATAGGTACCTGCAACCTCACCGGCTCGTGGCGAGTCTTTTGTTCAAAGTGGCAACTAAGCCCACCCAGGAGCCCTTCAAGTCAGTGGTATCATAAAAACAGCAAATTCAAGTCCTCTCRTGAAAGCAAAGTTAGGCAAACTAAAGGGAGAAAATTACCTTGTTGATTTACTTAGAAATAAAGCAAGCCTTAAAAAATAGACTAATGAAACCGATGCCTTTTGGTACATCACCTTGGCGTCCACCACAGATCTCCCTCCAAAAGATTTCTGTAACGCCTTGAGATTCCATCTTGATACAATTCCTGCAGCAACAGCACAGCTTTGTTTTTAAAGTCAGTAAGCGATTAATATTTTTGCAGACTTTCCAAGGCTGTATTTTAACTACCTCCCATGTCTCCTGACAGGAGGTTTCACACACTGATGAGGATTCGCAAGGCAGATAYGGCTGCAGATGCCACATGTGCACACCACGCTGCTCCTCAAAGCACATCCCCAAACACAGAGCAGCCAAGGAAGCAGGGAAGTCTGGACATGTGTGTCTTTAATCATCAGAGCAAACAGCCCGCTCGACTGCCAGATGTGTCCAAAGCTATCCTTATTTTTTCTTGACAAATTCTCTTACGTTGTCACAAATAATGCAGCGTGACAACACCAGGAGAGTCAGATAGAAGGCTGATTATTAAAAGCAGAAGTGAATGATTCTGGATCAGCCGTGAGGAGAGGGCTGTAATTCATTACAATATGCATGCAGCTAAAACATCATTATTGGAATTCTTTAGTGTGGTGAGGGCTCTAAGCTGGAAATGCAACATTATGCAAATCCTTTCTGGAGTGCTTTATCAGTTACGTGACCGACGCTATCACCCATATGGTGATGAATCTATGTCAAATCAAAAACAAGGGAGGGAAGAAGATAACAAAACCAGAGAAAATAAATTACAAGTCTCAAAAGTCACGATTTAAATTGGTCTGAAAAAGGGATCCCTGCAGAGTAGAAGGTGCTGCCCGAGGAGTGCATCTCCTGGCGCCTCAGTGTACCTTGGACTCGGGCCAGTCGTACACATCGGGCATGAAGGACTCGTATTCGTAGGTCCAAACTTTTGATCGGATGTAGCGGTTCTTGTCTGCGGGCTCRGGATAGTGGAAAGCCATGTTGTTCATGTACAAAAACTCCATAACCTGGAAAGTTAAATCACCGTGAAAGTTTGTGCCTGTTGCCACACTGATGGAGCATTTGCTCTGCCCCTGGAATATGTTGAGGRCTCTTCAGGTTGGACAAAGATAAATACCAAGGTCTTTTGGCAATTCCCAAACACCTTGKCAGGGATCCAGAAACATCATTTCAAAAAACAAAAAGAGCAAAATTGTGACCAACCAAAACTGCCAACCTGAAGCATCCAGCAAAACCAACGTTTTTATAAGTGTTATTAATGGCACAAAGAGAGGCCTGGGTGTYTGGTGCCGAAGCATCTTGTGGCCAGGCATCATGCTGCACGACTGGCTGCGTTAATACACACGTAAAGCACTTTTAGCACAGTTCACTGTTTGCTTTCCACTCACCTTGACAGCGATATAAATAGAAACTTCCCTGATATTAGACAGAGGAGGATAAAGTCGTCCTTGTGCAAGTTCTTCATCCGTCAACTGTTCTGCCAGTGCCTGAATTAGAAAAACGAACAGGTTCCTATTTTCTGCATCCTGAATAGGATCAACAACATGCTGAGATGCAGGAGAGAAACAGGCTGCAGCAATGTTTTACTATTAGCTTTCTCCCCAAATAGTAGAATGAGACACTTCAAGTCTCAATATTCCCAAGGGGTGGCACTGCAATCTGGGCCCATATCTGCAAATTCGGCCTGTAAATGTTGAGCAGAAACGAGAGCTTATCCGGACACACCAGCACCGGAGTGTTCCCGAGCATCCCGATGGCTGTGGGACCCCAAGGGGACAACCAGGAGGAGGGCAGGCACATCGACACTATCAGGACGGGGGGAGGACCTCTGCACAGGGACAAGCCTCATATTTGGAGGCTCAGCTATGCATAAAAATATTAATTTTTCACAAGAATCGGGCACTGCCCACAATTTTGCTTGCAATTTTCCTGTTGGTTTGATCCTCTCCCACCACCCTGCCCGGTGAAACAGAAAAATCAGAGTTTGCAGCACCATTTGAGCCTGTCCTGAAAGCCTGGCATGTCAGGCACCACTGTGCCCAAACCTAGAGCCCGCTCTGCCCCACACTTACCTTGGCAGCCTCTAGGAAAACCTTATCACTGATATGCCGGACACTGCTGAGGACCACAGCGAGGGCCACGCCTGCAATTAAATTAGTGCCAATTAGCGCCACATCATTCTAAAATATGCACCCTGCTGCCCAGAAACTGAAAGTCACCTCCAGTGTTATTTATAAAAGTCTTCCCACGGCTTTCTAAACCCATTCAACAAGGCTATTACCATGTATTACCATAATGGGTGGCCTTTAACAGGCAAGTTGGGAAAAGGAAGGAAAAGAAGGGAAGAGGAAGGCAGGGAAATATTCCCAATCCCTTTCTTGTATCCTCACTTGCACAGACATTGCTGAGTGTATTGACATTTACCTTCTCCTTCCCCGTCAAAGCAGCAGCAGAACTTGTGCAGCAGGAGCAAGACCTTTAATAACACACTCCTCTTTTCCCAAAATCCTGCAGCTCACTGTGTCCATGTCACATATACAACCCCTGGCACCCTCCCTGACTGATTTTCTTTTGTTTTTTTCTGAGTCTCATCTTCAGTTGAGCTTGTCATTGCTGGGAACATGTCTGTATGGGGCTTCACCACCTGCCTAGTGCAGACATAGACCTGATGAGAGGTACCCCTGCAGCCTGGCCCTCAAGACCAGCGGACAGAACTGCCTGCATTACAGAACTGCCTGCATTACCTGGGAAGATGTAGGCGTTGTTGCCCTGGCCTGGTTTGAAGACTCGTCCATCTTTCAGAGTCACCAGGTCGAAGGGGCTGCCGCTGGCAAAGAGGCACCGGCCCTGTAGTGGGAGAAAGCACAATGACGGATTTTTGCTAGAGAGCTAAACTGGGGGTGAAACCCAGGGCTAGCCGGGTCCTGCAGCTCCTGCTGGGCTCCCACATGGATGTGCGGGGTCCCCACGCCAGGGACTGACCGACAGGCCAGTTGGAGGCACCAAAGGGTCCCGGGGACGCCCCCAATTCCTGGCTGACACGGAGCCCCGTGGGACCCCACACAGACCCTCTCCAGCACCCACCAGCTCCAGCACTGCACAAAAAGAGCAGCCCGATGGCCACGGCCAAAGGGGGACCCAAGTACGGACACGGTATAAATGGTCACTTGTCTAATGATGGGTTTGGGAGGGTGAGGAGAGCACGACGATATCATACTGTGCGGGAGAAACGAAGCCTCGGAGGAGGCAGTAATGAACCTTCCTTGCTATTCTTTGGAAAACAACTTTTAATCAGCATGAAATAATAAAACCAACTCAGAGTTTTGAATGTAAAATATATCCTCCACCTGAACAACCCTTTCTGCGAAGAGCAAAACCCCTGTAAATGAAAAAAAAATGTTGACTTCCTCCTGGATAAGGAAGGTAAATATTTTCAAATGATATTAAGTTGAACGTGGGACACAGAAGCAGCATGGCAGTGAGCACCAGAGCCCAGTCCTGCTTTTGCAGGTGCCATCTAGTGGAAAACAAACAAAGAATGAGCAAACGGAGGTTAGTATCTTTATCTCATTAATGACTTCTTATCTTAGCTAAAATCTCAGACCAACCAGGATTAGGCTCTTTCTGAGGTGGGGAGACACAGAGGAATGATATTTCTCATCCTTAGGTGTCAAACTTTGTTAGTTAAAGCACAACATAAGCAAGGTTAGAGGATTTTCTAGGTATTTGCTGTATCTCGAAGGGAAGGATATTATTACATTTTGAAGGGTGAGCTGTGGGTACACTGAGTACAACTGGGTTGTAACAAGCACGTTGGAGAACTGAAGAGCATTATAAAAACAAGTATTAGATACTGAAACAACTCCAAAAACACCCTTTCATTTACTGAGCAGGAATATTTGCAACCGGACCACGGGCACGACCAACAGTCAGTGCACAGAAAATCAGGACAGGATGGACACAGGCTCATCATCGGAGAAAAAGCAGGGCTCTCTCCCTGGGGCACAAGGCACGGGAACTGTGGATTTTATACCCTGAAACACGGCTGAGGTAACTGTRTTCTGGCTAATCCCCAGATGCTAAATGTCCAAGGGAGCTTAAACAACCTTCATTACAAAGTGGTCGGTCTCATTTACTATGTAAAGCCAAGGTCCACGTTTTGCTCAGAGGCTGCTGCTTCTGCCCAGAGCTCCCTCTCGACCTGCTAATCTGGGCAGCGGGTTCCCTGCAAACCGGGTGCCCAGGAGCAGGAATCAGTGGAGGGAAGTGCCCTTTTCTCCACGGAGGTGGCACCATGTGGATGTAGCACCAAGCTGTCCCCGAGACCTCAGTGCAGAGCCGCACGCGGCAGGGAAGCCGCTTGCATTTCCACAGCAAGCAGCAAGGAGCTCGCTCCACCCCCTAGCTTTTACATACCTGACTCACTTGATTTGGGGCTGTATTTATAAATAAAAAGCTAAGTCTTCCCACAAGCCCCACCCCGACGTCTTCAGGCAGGCCCTGTGGCCAGGGCAGAGATCCCAGCCTGGCATCTGAAGGGAAGGAATCAGCAGCCAGTTCAAAGCRGCAGAGCTAGCGCCGGCGGCCTCGTCCCGCCTCTGTCCCCTCTGCTTCTGCTCWAAGCAGGCTCGTGTTTATATACAAGCCGTGCAGAAGGAGAGAAGACTGACTTTACTAAGGACAAACCCTCGATCTGAGTACGCTTACCCTGAAATGTGCTCGTGATAATGCCACTAAAGAGAGAAAAGGAACCGCCCCCGCAAACACACAGCGTCACTGCTTTGGGGCGAGAGTGCAAAACCAAGTTCATTTATAATCGTTCACTCCTCTGGACTTCTCGTGGTCGCTGGGAAATGACCGAGCACAAAGCAGGGGTCTTCATCAGACACACGGACAAGAGCTGCAAAAGGACTCTGTCTATTACACGGCAGCCCATGTTTTAAGGGCTGCACTTAATCCCTATTTTGATATCAACGTAAGCTGCTTCTTTAGAAATGAAAAMAATTTTAAAATGGTGGGAAAGCAGCAATTGATCAAAGCTACAGAACACTCAGTACCTAATGGTCTCTTCTTAAAAAAGAAATAACAAGATTTAKGCCATTCTGAGTTTTACAGCATGTCATTATCCAATAATCAAGATTTCTTTTCATATCACACCAATTTACTTTCCAAGACGACAAAAAAGAAATCTATTATTACAAGAAGAAATTCCACGTAAGAATCGAGGCATTCTGGCATTCTCAGTGTCAGTTTTCACTGTACATCACGGAGTGCCCAGTGAGTGGGTGCTTCAAACCCGCCCGTACCTCCGTTAACGTGTAGGCCTCCTCTGCTGTGCACTCAGCTTTCACCGTGGGGTTGCTCAGCGCAAAGATGATGGGCTGCTCRTTGATAGAGGCCATGGCTTTGATCACGTCGTGCGAGAAGAGCCGTCCGGCTCCTGCAACTCCTGGAGATGGTGGGAACACCCAGCAAGGGGATCAGTGCTCAACTTCCCCAGACGACAAGTACAAATTAAGCCCCTGTCACCCGCAAAGGCCGAGCAAACCATCCCAGCCTTGTCATTCCACAGGACACAGACCCAAGCACTGCTTCCATGCTGCCTGCCTAAAGCTCTCATCCTTCACAGGAACTGCCACTTCCAAAAGCCTATTGCACATCTTTCCCATGTAAGGAACGCTTATTGCCGCCCTGGACAAGCAAGGGGTGACTGCAGCTCTCGAGGATGATTCATCCTCGCTGGGTGTTAACTGGGCAAGGCACTTTCCCTTCATAATGCCATTTCTGGCCACRCCTAAGCACACAAATACATGAAAATAAATACACCAGATAGAGACTTAAGGAGAGCTACTCAGTCCATTTTTTTTCCACCCCAAAAAGTGATGTGCAGAGGAAATAACAGAGTTGTAACAGGAAATACATGTAATCCTAGCTGCCCGCTGAGGACAACCACAGTTATGTCTCTATCTGGTTACATATATATGTTTATAGGTATGGCATATATGTGTCAGTGACATTATAGGTACTGGTGACAAGGGACTGCAATACAAAACAGCCTCTGTTCTTTCCCCTGTGGCCAGGGTAGGGAATACATCTGGGAGGAGGAGAGGTGCATCCCAATATCTGACCCCTACTCCTGCCCTTCGCTGTGTGTCCGTTCACTGTGGCCATSCTGTTCCCAAGAACATGCTCAGAGCTGTTCTAAGCAGGGTCACTGAGGGGCTGGACAAGGCCTAAAGCCAACAAAAAAAAAGGCACAGAAGGAGCTGCAGCAAAGGATACTCTGAGAGATAACTTGGAGTTCATTATATTTTCAAGCAGAAAATCGCCCTCGGTTTTTCTTATTTATCCCAACAGAAATGGCCTGGATTGCTGTCACCAGCCTCCTTGGGGCCATGCTGCCAAAGGCAAACGCTGCAAATAACCAAGTTGTGGAAACACAGAAATGAAGAATGACTTTACTTACCAATGATAGCTGAAGGCYTAAGTACATTCACAGCCTCCACAAACGTTTTTGGTATGTGCTCTGGAGCCGGGTGCGTGAATGGTTCTTGGTTGGAATCTATGATGTGTTCCCGGCCCTACCGAGTCAAGTTGATGGCGTTAGGRGAAGGCCATGGAAAACACTGGCCTTTGGGAACATGCTATTTCCAGGGCTGGTGCATCCTTACCTGAACCAGTAAACCGTATTTGTCAAACATCCATATTTTCTTGTAGGCTTCCTCGGCAGAAACACCGCTTTCCATCATAGCCATGACAATGAGGTTTGCAATTCCCAGGGCAGCCTGACAGATAAAAGGATTCCTGCTTTTAATGAGCCACAAAAGGGGTCTGGCGACACAAACACCACCCCGTTCCCCACATATCCCACAGAAACCATCCCTTGGGTCAGCTCTGAAGCACAGGCTGCGTTGCCCTAGATGGGGGCAGATCCCTGGGATCAAGAGCATTGTGTCTGAGCAAGAAGAGAGCAGCTCTCCTGGAGACTGTGCCCCACTGCTTTCTGTGCCTCCCTCTGCTCTTTCTGCCTGTGATAGAGACTGTGGGCAAAGAAAGCAATGGGCAGAAAGGGGATGTTGCCAGTGCTTCCCTTCCTTTCTCCCTTTCTCACTGACTCATAACTTCGTGGTAAAAATCTCTCTTCTACTGCACACAAATTCCTGCTGCTTTGAGAAGTCCATGTAACAGTGTGTAAACCTGAGCCCTGGCAAATTCCAAGTGCCTTTCAAGGTCTTCATGCAAACACTCCCTTCTATGAATGTATTTTAGCTGCCCGTTGAGTTCTGCAATAAACCTTGAAGGATGGGAGCATCCAGATTTTACAGAAGCAGAAAATATAACACAGAGCAACCTTTTGTTGTGCTAGAGGCCTTTGGAGGACTCACCTCTCCTGCCCCAAGGAACAGCACTTTCTGCTCTGCAATGGGTTTACCAGTGGCTCTCTGTGCTGCCAGGAGTCCAGCTAAGGCCACTGAGGCTGTTCCTACAAGAGCAACACAGACCTGAAAAGAGCTGAACAGATCTACATGGCAGGTCATTCCTTCAGGCAAGGTATTTACTCATACATTAGGGAGCATAAACAGAGCTCATACCTTGAATATCATCATTGAAGGTGCAATACTTCTCTCTGTATTTTCTCAGAAACCGAAAAGCATTGTGATTTCCAAAGTCCTCAAACTGGATAAGTGTGTTCTGGCCATACCTACAGAACATGGCAAATACTCTTATCACTACATGCACAAACAAATTCTTTTAAAATAAATTCTGCATGTAATCAATTATCTCTGGCAGAGAAGCTCTCCTCAGGCTTCTCATTGCTTAAAACAGTCCCCCTTCCTGTGTGTACTTAACAGATAACTACAAATGACAAGTTCCAAATCACAGAGAAAAATCACTACAGAGCCAGAAAGACAGCCCGTGTCTGCTTTCTTCTAGTCCTATCTTTATGCCTTAGATGACTTTCAAGGACACTGTGTCATGCGCTCCTTCTGCCAGCAGTCTTGGCCATAGTCTTGTACAGAAATTTCCAAGTCATACCTGTCTGTAATGGCTTCCATAAATTCATCTATGAGATCATCGTAGGCCTGCGAGCGATCCCTTTTCTGGTACAGGCCCATATAAAACGGATCTTTTAAGAGTGTCTGAAAAAGATAAATCAAGACAGCGGCGGGATGAGTCACTTCCTCAATACACACTTCCCAGTGCTCACAGTAACACCTTTTGCTCTGTTCTCAATGATCCTGCATTTATACAGCCCCTTTAACTGCCTCCAGCCTGTATCAACATTCAGTAATATCAGCTGGCACTTGAGGTTGGTGATGGCTGCTTTTACAATGGAACAAATCAATACTGTGAACAATAAAGTGCTTTAATAAATGGGATTCATATTTCCAGCCTCTTAGAGTCAGGTCAACTTGACTGTCTGTTTTACAGTCTTCTAACATTCAAATAACTTCCAAAAGGTCCATCTGACTGTCACGTTAGCTGCAGTTTTTCAGCTGCTGATATAAAGCAAATTGCCATTAAATAAAATACTTGGTTTCATCTTGAAACAAAGTGYTCAAATAAAATTATAGTACTAAATACTAAATATAAGAGATGTGGGGATAGTCAAAGGTAAAGCTGAGTCAAACTCACTGTATTATCAGTTCCAACGTCGATACACACAGGCAAGCACTTATCTGGGTGTATGCCGGCACACGCCGTATACAGACACAGTTTTCCTACTGGAATTCCCATTCCATAGACACCAAGGTCTCCAAGACCCAATATTCTTTCTCCGTCAGTGACGACAACAGCCTGCAAACAAAAACATGTTAACAATAACATAAAATTAAACACAAAAATAACAATAAAAATAACACAAGTTATATATGACTGCTGTTTATTAAGGTTTAGAGTAATAGTAACTGTGGTTTTTTCTTCCAGGCAAAAATTGAGCTATGTCCATGCAGTTACACTAAGTAAGAAGAGATAACAAAGGTTTTTCTTTTTATCTCAAGCGATAACGCTTTGCCCCTTGCTCATTTTTTACCTAAGCAGAAAGCACGCAAGATAATGTTAGATCTGCCACGCTCCTCTCTGTCTGCTGAAAGCTACTGCCCTAATCCCCGAAGGCAAAGTGGGCAGAATCCGGGCCACCGTGTGCAGGAGCCTCTTGTAACTCAGGTTTATGATTTCCCCTCCTAAATCTGGACAGCAGGAGGTCGGGATGAGTGGTACCCACCTCGCCACCTCTTGTGGGTTTGGACTTAGCTGGGTCATATAAATATAATGGCAAAACCTGGGTTTCCAGGGCACTACTCTGTGTTCTGATATGAGGACAAGATCAGCTAATAAATGTACTTTATACCGTGATAAATAAGACCCTGGCGCATCCAGCATAGAAAGATAAAGTAAAGCAAGACACTGGCAAATCTAGCCCTGATCATCACCATCCACTCGAACTATAAATCTCATATTTATAACAAAACACAACTCTTTAAGAGTKGCTTTCATTAACTGCATCTGCCATCGTTGTCAAACAACTGCCAAGGATGCCTTACTTAGCATTATTTTTATTTCCATAAAATAACAACCAATTTTAAGAAGCTCAGCCCAGATTAAAAAACAATTAGAAAAAAAGAAAAGAATTAGATAGTACCTTAACATCATTCTCTGGCCAGTTGTTCACAATTGATCTTATATGACCTCTGTCTGAGATAGAAATAAATAATCCTCTGAAAGAAAAAGAAAACAACAAACCAGAGATATTTTATAGGTGATAATTAAAAACTTCACCTTGCCTTGTAGAACAAAATTTTAAACGCTAAAATTTGCATGAAAATAAGTGTTGAAATCCATTGCATATAACAGTGAAAAGACACTTTCTAATACGCTTAAAATATGACTACTGCACCACTCCTAGAAACAAAAGCAGAGAAAATACCGTTCATGCTGCTACCTGGATTTTACAGAACTAACTATACATGTGTCACATCCCCTGTCCCTGAAGAGGAGCAGAAAATGTCCATTTTTTTATCATCTTTGGCACAGCATGCTTCAAAAGCRGTGGAAAGGGGCTCCCAGGGCGGGCTCAGAGCCCTGCAGGCTGTGAGCAGCTCTGCCTGCCCTGGGGAAGCCCTGAAGCCCTTGGGGAGCTCTCTGAGGAACCCACCTGAGCTTCGCCTACCTTGGAAGGGCGCCGGGCTCGAGGACTTCCACAGATCCCTTCAACCTACATTTCTGTCTGAACCCTCTGCTCCTACACAGATCCTCAGCTCCACAGATGCAATTCTAAGAGCTGGAAAAAGTCAGAGCCGGCTCCTGGGAATGCCAGGGCCTCCTGGTGAGAGCTGGAAATAGGGCTGAGGTCCTGCATTGGTGGCACATTACCTCTCCTGTTCACAAATGTCCCCTTTTTCCCCAAAACAAACTAGGTCGTCAGTCATTATTTAAGGAACCTAACTTTCATGTAGCTAAATCCATAGGAAAATGCAATAAAGCATTTCCAGACCTCAGGGAAGAATATAGAGGAAAGAATAATAAAAGTAGCAGCAATACGAATGTACTGTTCTTACTTTGGTCTCCTGAAGATGTGTCCATACTGSGAGCAGGCAAGGCCCACCGTTGGGGTATACACAATTGGCATTAACCTCTCGATATCGTCTTGTAATACCCTATAGAATAATTTCTCATTTCTTTCTTGGATTCCCATTATGTAGATATACCTGTAATAAAGCAAAGAAAAAAAAGTATGTTTCACATGTATGCATGTGTAAAACAACATGAAAAAATGGCAGAGAAAAAAAAAMCAAACTTGCTTCATATTATATCCTCACAAAATTCCTTCCTTCACTCAAACTGGGTTTTGAGAATTAAACAAAAGTTGGAGAGAGCAGGGTAGCAGTTCTAAAAAGCTGTAATAAAAATAACAGATATGACATACCATGCATGCTAACTAAGGTATAAATATGCATTATGATATAACATAACCCATAGATTTATTACAGGATGCAGCTGGGAGTCTCATTAAAAAAAAAAAAAAAACAGCTAAAAGAGAGGTCTTGACAGCAAAGTCTTTTTAATCCTAACATTAACACAGGTGTGAGACTAATCAACTCCTGACAAGAGTCCTCTCTGAAGGACATAGCCCAGGGTGTGCAGGAAACCAGCACAGCCTATGGTACACCAATTCACCCCCAGGGAGCTGACTGGACAGGTAAACAYCATTAACTAGGGATTATCTTTGGTTACAGCTGCTGGGTGCTTGGCCTGCGTAGATGATTCCAGCATTTCAGATTGGCAGGTGAAATGATAAGGATTTAAAGCCTTCAGATAGCATGAGAATAGAGCTTCAGTGTGGTCCTGTATGCTTCAAATCATTCTCATGCTACTCTTCACTTTATAAGGCTTCATATTTTCCTGTGCAAATRCACATACTTTTATATGAAAATGGCAACAAAATGCTAAAAACATGCAATTTTCCTCCACATATTAAGTCCATAATTTCCTTCTAGCACTAATTACAGTATAGGATAAACAGTATTTTTTTTTTCACACCTAATTTGCAAGTTCCTAACTTACCTAAATTCACACATATTTTTCTGGTGTTCTCAAATACTAAAAAGTTCTTTGCTCTGACAACCTGCTAGCCAAATCTTATATTTAACAGAAGTGTAACAGCAAGGTCTTCAGCAAGCTGATGCCCCTTCAGTCTGCAGCTCTGTTACTGGCATATTTGTGTACAGCCTTTTTTGTGACTTCATGACTATGCATCGCTCCCAAATTGCTCCCCAACCTCCTTAATTTACATAAGGAGCAGCTGAAACATGTTTGTACAAAATTGAAAATAAACTCCAATAACTGGAAAGCCCAGTGGAGRCCAAGAAAGTGAGCTTGGTTATCCCATGGAAATATTTCTGCCCCAATTCCTGTCCATCAGCATAACCAAGGCCAGAGGAGCACTTACTTTTCCAGGGGGTCGTTCATTTTTGCCAAATTCTTATGGAATCGTAAGGCTTGGATGTCTTGTGTCTCGATTTTCGGAGGTAGAAGTCCTTGCAACCCAAGCATCTGTCGTTCCAGCAACGTGAAGGCCATGCCCTGAAAACAAGAGAGACATTTAGTAGTTTTTTTTCTAGTTTATTTATAATATATTTGCCATTTCTGACTCTGYGCTTCCAGCATATCCATTACCCTGCTCAAATACATCACATGTCCCCTTGTCCTGTTGCAGGTGGCACAGTTAGAACTAGGAGATCCCCCTGCAGATAGGCTGAGGTTTGAAAGCACAAGTAAGAGGGAGTTCTTGAATCATTTCACAGGAACATATGGTTGACCAGAAACATGCAGGTCACCCAGTCTTGTACCTGCAGTCACAACCACTCACAATTAATCACAAAGAGTTTTCTCTGAATTGCTCCATATCCTGCATTTTTTCATTCTTTCAACAGTCTAACTAAAACCTGAAGTTATTGAATTGCCTGAGTGCTTATACTGAGTTCACATCTCAACCCAAGTCCTTCCTTTTTAATTAGAGCTAGTGCTAATCTCTTAATCCCTTCAATTTGCTACTACCAAMAGGTTTTATCTGTAACAAATTAAGTTTCAGAGGAGTTAAATCACAAAATACCCCTCCATGTCCACTCCCCTGTTCAAGGTGGGTAGAGTTTTACTTCAGTTTTAAAAGTTAAACATCACAGTTGAAAGCAAAATTAACTTTAAACCTTTTAGTATTTTGGTTTAAAAATGAATTGCAGCCTAGATTAGGTCCCAATACGACTCTAATCCTTAGGACATTTGGAGTTATTTAACAATAACATTCAAGCAGGCATTAACTGCCAGCACTTAATATACTTAACAAGCTGCTGTGAGCTACCTGTTAGTGAGCAGAGATATTGTCACTGGCAATTAGCTCCTAGGCACAAGTTGGCAAAATTTAGCTGATAGGAAAGCAGACCTCACAGCCCAAACTGCTAATCTCGCTTCTGGCAGCACCGGACCCCACTTGAAGTTTCTGCCAGAAGAAAGGGGAGAATTTTTCTTTTGTTTATTCAGCTGGGTCAGGTCGGTGAATGGTTAATCAATATTTGAGAAAGCAGGAGCTGAAAAGGCAAGAAAACCTTCCCTGTGCCACGGCACTGGACCAAGGCACGAGCAAAAGCAGAAGCTGAAAGGGCAAGAGCTGCTCCTGCAAATGCTTTCAAAGGGAAGGAAACAAGAATCGGCAGCTCTGCTTATCAACGGGGGCTCCTCTGTTTGCTGCAGTCTTAGATTAAAAAACAAAAGCACCCTCTTCTTGGGCTTATCTACGCCCAGGGCAGACCGGCTGCCAACCTAGAAGGAGAAAAAGTTTTAAAATGTTGGGTTTTGTACAGCAGTGACAAGACAAATCCCATCTGCAATCATACAAAACACAAGGAAAAAAAAAAAAAAAAGAGAAACATTTGCCTGCTTTAGAACAACAAAAAATAAAACGAGGAATTTGAATATGCTGAATTAGAATTCTGATATGAATTAGAATATAGGCCTCTGCTGACAGTCGAATAGACGACCATAGGTATTTGTATAAAGMGTGCATACTCTTAATTATAAAACCCCGAGGTTTAATCAAGACTTCACTGTAATTTCACATACTTGAATCATCTCTGTCCAACACAGGTCACCTACCCCTTCGGAAACTCCATTACTAACAACAATGGGTTTTGATTGATAGCATTTTTCTCCTTGTTTATTYCAATCACCACTTATTCTGACTACACCGTTTTACTCTGTCCATCTGCCTTTTGGTACTAACTGCACACTGTATTGTGAAGTAATAAAATACTCAAAGATTTAGAAAGCACGATAAAACACAAAATTAGAAAAGCTTTAAGTATTTAACCCCAAAATAGACCGATCCATCAAAGCAAAATTGCATGAAACTGAAGCATGCAAAAAGCATCTACCATCYGTCTTCCATTTCTCCTTAAACATCTAAGTTCTATGATTTTAGGCCTTGGTAAAATGGCATTTTCTGCACACCGTGCCTGCAGGACGGCTCATTCAGGATAGGCAGCTAAGCACAGCTGGGAATATTTCGGACATTACAAAAAAATAAAAATGGTGCCAAAAGATTTGTGATTTATGGTGTTATGGAGAAAAGTTAGTCTCTTATCAGGAGATTATATAAACACTTGTCCATAAAGTCATTAATGTGTCCCTGGTCTAAGATATGCTAGAGGGCAGAATCCCTTTAGTGGCTCTTTACTTACCAAGCTAGCATTTCACTGCARACCAGCTGAAACATCTCTCTAGCAAAACTACTAGATGTTTCCCTTTCAGAAACTACTCATAAAATCCCTTAAAATGAAGTCTGTTTGATTTCCATTACTGGCACAGACACCGTGTCATGCCTTTCTCTTAATTTCCCTGTACAGCAAACCCAGTGACAATAAACTGTCTGGGTCCTTAATAATACTTTCAAATGAGCCCTGAGGTCTGTATTAGGCAGAGCAGCTACCCATGTTTATTCAATTTATCCACATTCCTTTCAGTCTACAGGCAGCCTAGGTTTGCAGTGTCTCTGGAGTTAGGAGAGCTKTAAACACAAGGAATTTGTCCAGCAGTCCTAAGCACTGCCAGCTGCTTGTTTACGAGGAGGACAATTAAGTCTTAGCCCATTAAAAGATGTATTTTAATTTCTGCCCAGGCCTAACTGGGAGAAATATGACTGTCCCTACAGAAATGTAATGCTCATTCCAACCAGGACATGACAAGTTTGGTCCACAAGAGCCCTCTGCAGAGCCCGGGGCCTCTCCCACCTTGCAGTGTGTCCTGTTCATCACCTTGGACCATGGCCATGCTCTTGGGTTGCGTTTGGGACGTTGGGATGTTCCCTGTCAGGACAGAAGATCTCCCTAAGAGCTCCAGTATCACAAACCTGGTAGTCTCTCCCTCTCACTTCAACATCTCCAGCAGGGTTTGACAGCCCCAGCAATCAGCTCCCCAGGAAGCAGGGGGACACAGGGATTTGCAGCACCAGCAGTGATCTTCTCAAAGGTACTTAARATCCCACCACTGACCCCAGGGCCCAATTCTCATTGAGTTAGGCTGCAATTAAGCACCTAAGTCACCTAAGTACTGTAATGATTTGGGCTTAGCTCACAGCAACCACTTTTTGGTTTCATCTGACTTGAATGGGCTTTTTCAGMGTGTTTTGCACCAACTTTCACTTAGATCAGTTGCCTTAATCCTCTTTACAGCTTAGAAACAACAGGTGTCCTTTTTACACAGTGCAGACAAGGCATGCACTGTACCTAGGGGAAAAACAGCCCTCTTGAAGACCACAAATGAAATAATTAAAACACACAGACAAGTTTATTACACTAAAAATCAACATAATCCTGCAGAAAGAGAAAGCAAGAAAATGAAGTGCTGYCAGGTTCTTCTTCAGCCAGGACAAGCTCCCACTTCACCACTACATACGGTGCCCTGGGGACACCAGGTACGTGGCACCAGGATGTTATTTTGGCTGTGAAAACGGCCTCCTTCAGAGGGAGGATTTGATGAAAAGGTCCTCGTGTAACTAAATCACTGGCGTAACATATCCAGCACTGTATCCTACGCTTTGAAGTAGAAGCATTAACTACRTTTTCAAAATAAAGCCGGTTTTACATGGGCACGTGGGGTTTTTCTTAAGCGTGCTTCCTTTTGCTAAATCTCAAAGTTCACTTGGTGCCAATTAATAAGGTTCATTGACATGAATCAAAGGTGTCTTTGCTATCTGAAACACAGATTCAAAGCTTATCTGGATTTATATATACAGGATCATATGCAGATCTCTTTTGATTTCTTTCCTCTTTCATTTTTCAAGCTGAATKTAGCAACTTTCATCCTCCATAAACACTACTTTGTGCTGGCAGGAGGACTAAAGCCCAACACAAAGCCCAAGCTTTTTACGTTTTCCCCCTCAGTGTGCCTTCAATCCTCAGCTGAAGCTACGAGGCCTTGGTTAGRTAATAACTGCAATAAAACTACATACCTAGAGCTCACTTGCACCACTCTTGCCTGTGTTCATTTGAGAGGGCTGGAGTCTGGCTGTCCTCCCCGTTCTGCAAGCAGGGCCTGGCAGASTGTCCTGGCAAGGCAGTCTGCAGGACCAAGCCATCGTGACACAGTGATCTACCTCTGCTGAGCTGCAAAATGACCCAGTGCTTAAGTTATTAGGCCTTTAAAGGGCTTAGCTCCTGCAGGCAAAGACACCTGCAGCTCTTGTAGCGCATCTGCACTCAAGGAACCTGGTGTAAGTCGCTGTGGCTGCTGATCAGACTTGGCTAAGCAGCATTTATGTACGATCTGGGTTCAGCTGGAGCTTCTTCTCCTCAAGACAGATGCCTTTGCAGACTACTAGGCCAGGCAYCCATCCCCTCTGGGGTTTGCTTCCAAGCAGGAGCAGTTACGGTAAAGCTGCACTTTGCAAATCACGAGCATGCTGGATGGCAGCGGATCCCCTTCCTTGCCACACCTCAGCCCAGCGACTCGGCCGCTGCGAGCAGAACAGCCGATCCAAGGTAAATAGGGAGCAACAGCCCTTACCAGCCTGGCACTTGCAGYGCCTTTCCAGGCAGGTGACGAAAGCTGGCTACCAATTAGGCAGATCCACCTTCTTGCCACACTTTAATCCTCTTCAAAGCAGGCAGCTCTTCGAGGAAGCTTTAGCAGCTGCACATGAGCAGCCGTGTAACCTCCATCCAACCACCTCTCCATCCCCACACCAGCCGGGCAGCCCACGAGGCTTGTGGTGGGGCGACTCTTTCGGGCTCTCTGTGTGAGAGCTTCTGGCAGGCTCTTCCTAGGAGTTTCTGTCAACATTTCTGCCCTTTAGGATGTTTCTTTGTGACTGACCAGGAACTGCTGGTCATGTTTCAAATGCTGCAATTCCCAGTAAGATTCTTACACTGCTTTCACCTTGTCTACACATTCTGTTTGTCTTGCTTCCTAAGCAAACCAGGACAGCAAGATGGGCATTGCTTATTCTTGGCTGTTCAGTGAAGCAGCTACAGTCTAAAAAACGTCCAAGCGAAAAAACCTGAATATACCCATATACCACACAGCAGGAATAGGCAGAGTCTGTCACAGTCTCTGTGATGTATTCAATGAGGCATATTAGTCTTAATTTTTTTTAAATATGTCACATACTCCCTTGTACATGTACTCAGGCACATATACATATGTGTGGACCTATGAAATGTGCTAAAGCTGTTTGCTCAAGGGAAAAATTTGGTAAGTACTGTCATGATATGAGAGCGATATCGAAGAAGGAAGTAACCACACAAGACTGAGCAACAAAATAATAKAAAACGGGTACCGGAACCGACCACACTGAGATTAATAAGAATTGCCACCACAACCTAGCAAATTGCCAACTGACAGACACTGAAATACAGAAAATGTCACAAATTATGCAAAGTCCCCAATTTGCCTCAGGCAAAAAGAACCCAAATATAGGAATAATATTACAGGTCATGTATTTTCAGTGAAATAAAGACACAGGTGCCATCCTACATGGMAGCATGGACATTACCAAGATCAGGGGTCGTCACCTGCTCTGTGTGGGAAGACAAAATCCTGGCCCACAAGTGAGGGCCCCTACACATGATCTCAACATAACTATTTATTTGCTGGCACTAAACTAATTAAATTGTCCAAGGGTCAAACAAGCTTAAAATGCTGTTTCTGCACAGTGGGATCAGCAGSACAACAAAAGGTCCTGCAGCCAATTAGCTATAATCTGAATCTCTGTCACAGAGCAGTTCAGCAGAAATCAAAAATCATCATCAACAGTGAAATGTACCAGTGACAGTATGGCCTGCAGTTGTTTGGCTGCAGCAGCCAAGGCATTACTGATACAGCCATGACCTCCCAGCTGCCCTGACAATAAATGAAATAAAAGAAACCTGGCTTTGAAATATAAAAGGTTAAGACAAAAGTTAATGCAGGCTGATGCACCTTGCAGGAGCCAGGTAAGGCTGGGAAACACAAGGATAAAAATACATTCCAGATCCAGTGCAGAGCAGAGGAGCAGACTGATTGACTGCTGGGGAAAGGGGTCGTTTCCATCAGTGATGCTGGCATCTTACAGTTCGTATTTTAGGCCCCAGGCACATTAAGGGAGTCCACATGCTTTGTAGAATAACTTGATACAGATTATAAAAGCTAAACATAAGCACCTAAAACAAACAAGACATAAAAKGCTGATCTCAGGTCACCAGCAAGAGATATCAAAGTCCATTATCTGTATGTGTATGTGCATGCACACATACTTATATCTGCATATACACACACATGCACACACGTACACATGAGGCAACCAGGGCAAGAAGAGCAGAAAGGGTAGTCTCCTTATTTAATCTAATAACTTAATCATTTATTTCTCTGCTGAATTTCTAAAATAATTTTCCACGTGCATACTACATTCCCCACCAAACAGTATCACTTAAGCACTTTACAGAGCTATTCAAACAGGTGCCAGCTTTAATGACAGACTGATGAGAGCAGCACTGAACAAACAGGCAGAGTTTTTGTCCTTGGCCCAGTATCATTCTTTAGAGAAGACAGACAGAAAAGGAAAGGGAGAAAGGGAGAAATCTACTGCTATTAATAAGCACCTCTCTGCTTCTCCCTTCTCCTCAAAAGAAGAGAACAACTATAAAAAATACTGCATTGTGCTCATTCCACCATAAAACTAAGCCCGGCTTAGAAACACAGCAAAAAAGAATAAACATACTATCCCCATAAGAACAACATGAAACGACTTATTGTCTTTGTTTCTGATCGCTGTTGCATAATCAGCACTTGGAAAGGCTCTCAGGGCTTGAAGTATTTTCCTCTGGCCTGTCCGGGTGTCCACAGCCCAGCAAAGCTCCGAGATCCCCGATCCTGACAAATCCTTCCTTCCTTCTCCTCCTGTCTCCGTTTTGCTTTTGCAGTCAGCCAGACTCCAGTGCAGCTTTCTCTGCATTTATGCAACCTACATTCATGCAGCACAGAGGCAGAGCACCCTTTAATGACAAAGCAAGCAATTTTTTTCTCGTTTCCTTCTTATCAAGACACTGAGGGGTGACTTTTCCCCAAAGAAGCACTGCAGCAGCTCTGCCCAGAGAATAGAGAAGACACCAAAAAGCACAAGACARAACTGTGGAAATCCAGCTTTGCTAGCTCCTTTGCTCATGAAAYACCCTTTTCAACAGTTAGGTTTGTCACCTTTCTTGACCATTTTAGCTGGCTAAAGCTTGATCATTTCAATATCCCCAAAGGCTACGAGTGCTCTGGAAAAAAGCGAGGATATTGCGGGTAGGGAATCTTTTAAGAAAGTAGGGTTTTTCTTCCCCCACAAAGAGAAATTCCTCCCAAAGCATGGAACCAATGTAATGTTTCTACCTCCCAGTTATCCTGTTTTCAGTGCTCTCTCTCTCTGACTGTGTGGACAGAGATGTTTCTAACTSATGTGGCTCAGTCTCAATTCACAGCCTACCAAGTGAAAACCAGGTCYAGGACTTGGAGATTACCACTTCCTATCACCAACACGTTTGAATTCAAAAATTACTTGTTGCAAACTATGAAGTAAGGCTTTTAATCTGCTAAAATAAATTAGAATGGAATTCCCCAGCTGGAATTCCACCAGCCCCAAAATTAAGCCAGTAATCAGGAAGAATGAGCACCGACTCTTCATCTGGCMCCAGGGAGCAGCAGGACCAGCTGTGTAACATGCAAAAAGCCGAGGGAAGTGCAGGCTGGCAGAAGCAGGGCCTCACTGCAAGTGCCTGCRTGGTAGTTCCTCCGGTTATAAACTTCAGGTGATCACTGGCTCCTCCAGCCTCTGCACCCTGTTTGGCCGTGGCCCAGGAGAGCTCCTTGACCTTAAAACCGAGTGTTACTTCTATCCCAGAACAAGGTTCRCGGCGCTGCTGCCAGTGCAGATAAGAGGCCTGGTAAATGCGCACCACCAACCTTGTTTGTTCGTGGGTTTAGCATCAGGGGCTTGCCTTTTTCTTTCGTATGGGCGCTGCGACAGGCCGTGGCGCAGGGAGCGGCGGCTGCTCTCAACCGGGAGAGCATCTTGGCTTCTCACAGGGCACCTGGCAAGCAGAAAAGAAAACCATTCAGAYACAGAGGTTGTCGGAGTAATATGAATATTCCTGGGTTCCCTGTTGTAAGAGAAAACGGACGTGTTAGCTAAGGCTCCTCACTCAAGCGCTATCATAATAACCCAAAATTGCCTGGTTGAAAACAAAGCGTGATCCAACTCTGGATTCAATGCCTGGATTTTTTCTCTCTCTAAAACTAAAAAAAAAGAAAAAAAAAAGATTATTTGTGGAGGAGGTAAATCCTTTTCTTTAAAGGAAATGCTTTCCAAACACATTTAACAATTTCTTAGCACCACTCAAAGGCCTTGCTCTTAACACTGTCACGTGCTGACCACTCTCAAATCCATTTTATGCAATTATTATTAAGAGAAAGCTCTTGGGAGCAGAAATTATTATTACACGCTTGTGCAACACCGCRACACAAGGGGACACGTCCTGGGCCCGTCTCTAAATGCTCTTTCAGCAACATTCAGGGAGTGAATATCAGTCACGCCTGAGGACTTTACACGGGAGCAGAGGCCTCCATGAACCCACATCAAGGTTGTGGCCTGGAAAGGACGGGGCAAACATTGCTTGGGAGCAGAACCCACACGGGGAGCACAGGAGAGGGGGAAAAAGCCAGTATCAGGTCCATACAATAAGGGAAACAAAGGCAGAGACTTTAAGATCCTCTCTGTTCACTGCAGAGCTCAAGGGAAGGGGTATCCAGGGCTGGCAGTTGACTTGGATAATCCCATCCCTACCCTTCCYGGCCGGTGCTCCGGGGCTCTCTGTCCCAGCTACACCTCCAGYCCTGGACCCTGTGCAAACACTAAAMGGGACACGAGGCATTTCCAGGGACTGCAGAGATACTTGCTTTGGAGTTTTAATTCCTTCCAGATGGAAGACGAAAATTAGATTAAGGAGTAAAACTGCATTAGCTTAAAAACAGCCTGAATACTTTTAGAAGACCTTGTTACAATCAAAGCTGCTTCAATCAACACAACAGACTGATTTTCGAAGCTACCAGCTGAGGATCTGCTTCAAAATCTTTCAAAGCATTAAAAGAACATGTATAAAAGCCAGTATTTTTCATCACAGGAGTATCGGGGTGTCCTTTTTGCCCACTGCAAACTCCAGAGAAGAGCACTACTGACATCCAGCAGGCTCAAACTTTTCCATTCACTTTGGCCTCGCAGCTTAAGAAAGCCCCCTTCGAAGCCCGTGTGGTCACTTGCTCCACGGTGAAGAACATAAACCTGCTGCTGCCCGAACCGGCTCGTGCTGCAGGAAGCCAGGCTGCCGGGCACGCGCAAACCGCCGCGCGCAGCCGGATCAGATAAGAGAAATCAGCTTTGTGCTACACAACAGGCAGCCTTTAGGAACGGCAAACTTGGTGGGAGCTGATTTTAATTCTGATAGCTCATTTGGCTATTAGGCAATTTTAAGGCCGTGTCTTTATGCATATGAAGCCCAAAATGATGTGCGATTACAGCATCCCAGGAAAAGTCAGCAGGCACCTTATTAACCTGGTTTGGCGGGGGCTTCAATTTGTCATGAGTAACTCTCTTAAAGACGGAATTAAAAAGCAGGCCAAACATCTCACCTTATCTCACCTGCTCAGGTTTACTCTGCTGCAGGCAGTGAGCATTTTATGAACTAAACAAGACTGTGGCCCAGATTTTATAACTCCCTGACTTAAATCAACAAAGTCTCTGATCAATGAGAGACTTCCCAGCGGTTTGATTCAAGTCTTACCTGGGCAAACTGMCTTCTGGCCGTGCTCCTCCCTGCAGAGGCGCCCTAGAGGGACGAAAATTGGTCTCCTAGCAGAGGTGTCCCAGATGCCTGCAGCTAAACGGGAGCAATCTGGGCTTCACTTCCTACTCATTCCCTTGGTTTAGATCCAGGAGATACAATCCCAGTTAATGTATATCTGTTGTGAAACTTGGCCCTTTGGGTTCAGACGCATCTGTGCATGTCGGTGGTGGGTGGAAGCTTTTGCGAAGAGCTCCCAGCCTCAGCCCAGCGCCCCAGTGAGACCCGCAGGGCCGGACCCCGTGTCGGAGGCACCTATAAAAAYAATCCGCCAGGAGAATGTGGAATAAGGGCTGAGTGAGTGTCCACTGAGAGACGTCAGGACAGCGCAAGGGCACGGGGCTGCCGCCGCACGGGGCCCTGGCCTCACACAACGCCCTGACAGCACAAACGGGGAAGAAAKCTGGGGAACCGAAAGAGCAATAACCGCTATTTTATGCCAAAACATGTGTCAGCAAAGTCAGAGCGAGCATTTTCTTCTCTTCTTTTCCTTCCAGCGCCCAATGAGGGTAAGGAACACACGGGCCTGCGGACTGCATCGTAACCAGTAATTTCTGACCTTTACTACATACGTTGCTGTGTGACAATCCAAAGGAATTATATTCCTTGGCAAAGCCGTCGCCAGCTTTCTGCTGTACCTTATCAGGAGGCATCTGGCCAGTTCAAACTGCTCACTAGCAGCCTACGAGTGCCCTTATCTGGGAGCAAACGTTTTGCTGCTGCAATTATGGATTTCTTACACTGCTAAAAGGACTTTTCAGGGAAAGGCTCATCATATGTTTATAAGGCACAATTCCATTGCTTCTGGAGTCAGGGAGCCCAGTGCCAGCTACAGCAGGACCCGTTTCAATTTCCACACAGTCCGAGCCGTGGGTTGTACCTGATTGTGCCTAATCCCAAGGAATATTTCTCAGCAAAGCAGCAATTTATGGTRGAAGGGGCCCCCTCACGCCCCGAACCCGATCGGGTTGTGCTCTCGCTCCCTTTCTCTCGAAGCGAGCCCTGCCTGGCCAAGTGTGACACAAACCAGGCACCCGCCACAGGCTTCATCACATTGGCACCGATAAAGCCACCTAAAAGGATTACATTAGGCAAACACCAGCTCCAACAGCGTTCCCAAAGAGGAGCTCCGCAAGGAGAAGCTCCCACGGCCTCCGCATGGGCCCCGTGTCGGTGACGGCTCCGACGCACCTCGGGATCTGCAGATTTCGGAGGGCAGCCACGCTGGGAAGCGACCACAGCCTTGTGTTCGGCAGGTCACTCGGGAGCAGATCTTTCCCATCTTGGAAATACTTTTCTTCCCTCCTATCCTCAAGTGACCAGCCCAACAGGAAGAAAAGCTGGGTGTGAAGGGCTTAAGCAGACCAAGTCTGTTCCTGTCGCGAGGTCCGAAGCGTTCAGCATGCGCTTCACCAGGTTCAAACAAGAATAATTTCAGAACATCTTTTCYAAAAACAACCCAAAATACCAGCAAACTTCTCACCGCACAACCAGAAAATGGAACTAAATTGCTTGGAGTTTTGGTTCACAAAAGATCATAACGCATAACTCCAGAAAGTTATTTTTCTGTATAGTCTTAACTATTCCCCTTAAGCTACAGAAAGRCCATTAGCTTGTACTATGCAAACTGCAGCAGTACTTTTGACGTATTTTTGGCCAGCCAAAAGAGAAAGTCACATCCCTGACTTTATTCTCAAAAGTAGTTCCACTTTTTTGGTTTGAGGACTTGTGGTAGCAAAGGTAACCGCACCTTGCACGCCCACCTCATCCTGCACAATCCCTACTCTTTATTCCATACAAACACAGAATATTAAATTCCTCTAAATACACAGAAAGCTACTGACGCTTTATTCTGCAGACAAGGCGCAGGGCTATTTTACGGATGTTTTCTTCAATCCAAACCCATGGATTTTGGGGACAGGGATGGAAGCAGGGCTGTTCTCACCTCGGCTGCACACCTGCAAAAGGAGATTCCTTTGGGGAGAATAACTCAGCAATAGACAAGGAGAGACCGGGCTGCTGGCTAGTCCAGGATTACCTTTAGCAGACGTAACATAAAGTTACTAACTACACTAAACCTGGGATGATAACATATGATTTTTTTCCTTAAAAATACACACTCAGCCTACCTTTATATATGAAATACGGAAGACTTTATATACGAAATAGAGCCAACTCTGTGTCAGAGACCCCTGGCCGGATGSGTGAGCGAACTGCCCACAGCAGCCAGGGTTTTTCCGTTTTTTTGAATTAAATCGCATGTATTTCCATATTCCCCCTCGCTGTTTGTTGCTCACTCTCCGGCASCAAGAACAGGGCGATAGGGGCAGTCTTGCATCCAGGATTACTCTATTTTGCCACCTGTTTCCTCAGGCAAACGCGTGTTTTCGGGCTTCCCCAACGGGTCACAGGCTCACGCTGCTGTTATAGGTGCAATATTATGTGTGTGCAGTACAGGTGTTGTATTACGAGTGCGTATTATATATGTRCTGTGTTATGTGCATGTGTTGAGCAGCACTCGGTACCGCGGGCGCAGCCGAACCGAGATGGAAGCGGCACCGAGCGCGCGACGGCGGCAGCGTTTATTATTATGAAAAATAAAAAAAGAACACGGAAACTAATGGCAGAAACTAGTCCTAAAAATACTCAGCGGCCTAACAGCAGTTCCTCACTCTAACTCGCTGCTATCTCCCAACTTTCGCTCCCGGCTTTATGGCTCTGCCACCGAAGTTGGAGGCAGAGGGGGAGACTGTCAAGTGCRGGGGGCTGCTGTGGCCTCCATTTCGGCCAGGCTTGTTGCCTCCGTGCCCCAAAAGATGCCAGAAACGGGGAAAAGGAAACGGGGAGAGGAAGGGAAATGGGGGGGTGAGGGGGGAACCATCTTGACAGGGCGAGGCCGCGCCGGGCCGCATGGGCCCCCCCGGGCTAGGCAGCGCTCGGCCTCCATCACCCTCCGCGCCGGCCTCCGGGCCCGCTACCACCCGTAGAAGGGCACGGGGAAGTTCAAGGATGTCGAAAGAGAGGAAAATGCCCCCCMAAATGGGTGTTTTTAAAAGAGGCCTCCCAGACGCGGCTGCCGTGGCGAGGCTGTTACCGGAACGGGCTCTACCTCGTCCTGCTGCTGCCGCCGCTGCCCTCCGCGCGACGCCGCCCGTGCCTATTGTGCCGCCGCTC